AGGCGCACCCGGCACGTCACCAAAGGTGCTCGCCGGTGCAGAGGACGGCGAACTGTTCGGATGTGAAGTCGCTTGCAGTATAAGAGATATACGAGCCTGAAATGAGATCAACGGAGCAAGTCAGGTTGGTCCTTAGAATGTGGACTTGTTCTTTTCACCCCAGATTTTAGGCGTTTTCACCTACAACATGACCGTGTGCCTCAGGGGCAAGAAGTGACCTGGAGAGAATGTGTTCTACTCCAAGTGCCCCTACCAGCATCCTTGTAGAGTCGTACCTGAAACCTGGCACCAGTGGCAGGGTCGTGGCAGTGGCCTTTGAAGAACGTTCTGTGAACAATGTCACTTCACGTGGTATTTCAACTCGACATGATCCGATCATTCAAGAAGCTCTCATCGTGCAAAGCCATCGGGCGATGTCAAATTTATTCTAAGCAAACTCTGTTTCAATCCGGCATACCTGTAGAAGAACATTCCAAGAAAATGACCGGGGCTGATTGGGATGTGATTTGGTGCATGAACCCAGTTGGTTGGAACACGTTGCCCAGATCACACGCGTCCGACCGATTGGGTTCAACAGCTGCCAGGTGTGTTGATCTTTCTGCCGCAAGCTGAGGAGAACCACATGAGTGGCCTTTGAGACCCTTTGACATGCCACAGCAGTCAAAACAGAACGGATCCCTTGAGACTCCTGACATATGGGGATGACGCAGGGATGACATATGGGGATGGGGATGTTTGATGATGTTTGAATCCTGTATTTTTTGGATGTGGAGGTGCAGTAGGTTTGGAATTGGAATCCAAAACGCTCAGGTATTTTTTTGTTATTTGTTGCGAGGGTGTCCACAGCCAGTGGGGCTGACAATTGTAGAACCTCAAAGCTTGGCACACTCCACTCGTTGCCCCGGAGTCAACAGAGTGCAGGTGTGCGAATACAACACACTGTACAGAAGAATGCAGCAGACCAACTGTGGTATTTGGTCGGTTGAACTTATATGCCTACAGAGTCTGGAGTCTGCAGAGTTGCCCGCTTGGTGCAGTTGGAGTAAAATCCACACCGGCGTCAAGTGTTCATCAGTGCCCTCCATTGGAGCAAGTTACTCAGTTACTCGTGCCCGGAATACCATCCAGTGCTGTACCTGGTGCGACTTGCCGAGGCCGGGAATTCATGAGATATCAGAGCTTTTTGATGCGCCTTTGACTGAATTTGGGGCCTTGGCAATTTGAGCCAAGAGGTTCCGCGGGAGGTAGGAGGAAACTCAGCGCACATGGTGAATGTGAACGAGCTAGTTAGCTAGTTACTTTAAAGACATATACTATATATACTAGGATCTTGTTTCCTGGAATGCGGTTAGAACTTCCCATGCTACTGGAACGAGGTGTGCAGGCTCCATGCCTGAATTTCTTGGACAGGAATTCCTACAACTGACTTTGTTCTGTGACGGGGTGGGGAAGCACACCAGACAAAACTGTTGACAACGAACTTACAAAGTCAAAACTGGGACCTGATTGTTTGGTTGAAGGCATCCTGCACATCAGGAGGCCCCTGTCAAAATGCGACAATGTTCATACATTGTCCATCAACAAAAACAAAACCGTGCTATTCATGTGCTTTGTGATTTTGTCATATACTCTACCAGTGAAGGCACCAAACATCGCTCAGGTGTTCAGATTTCTTCCAGAAACAAAATCCAGACACTCCATGTATGGCATAGTTATTTTGACCCCTAAAACCACCTCAATGTAGGTAAATATGCCAGTCCCATGGAGTGTTTGGGAAAAGAACCCGCTGTTGCCATGTCTTCCTCGTCTTTTACGACCATCCAGGTGCTTGAAATACTTGAGCAGCCAGCTGCAGAGCAGCAAGCGGCAGGCGAGAGGAGGGCTTCCGGACACCTGATCTGCATGGCCGTCCGGATCTGTGAAGCTCCCAGCTGAGCAGAAGAGTGGGGAGAGAACAACAGATCAAGTCGGCGATCAAGGTGCTTCTAGAACGGATCTCGTGGGTTCTCCGAGGCGAGCTCTAGAAAACTATTGAGCTATCCAATGCCAAGGGTTTACTGGGTTTACTGCAGTTGTTTTGAGCGAGTTGGAGCGTGCATTCATGTGAAGCTAGCACTATCAGCTACAGCAGTATAGTATGCCTCAGTATGCAACAGTTGCAGTAGCAAAGGAACCTCAGCAGCATGCGGTGTTTCGTCATCCGCCATGACCTTCCATGTGCTGAGCGCCATCGCTTTGGTGGCACTTGCAAATGCTGCTTGGCCTACCTGGCGGTAGCAGTGTTGGACGAACGACCTGGCGGAGGTTTTTGAAGACCCATGTGGCGTACCAAAAACAACGTAACAAGGCCTCGAAGGAGTGAGAGGTTGTGACAGCGTGGTCCTTGCGAATGGCATTTGTTGGGACCCGGACATGGGTTCCGCATGGGTTCCACGCGTTGGTGCGGGTGAGATGAGACATATCCGGAGCCGAACAGATGGGGCGAGAGATCCGATCCTTGGGGGGGGTTGGAGATGACATAGATTTATGCCTGTTGATTTAAGAACCCCTCGCATGGAGAGGTTGTTCACTCCAAATGGGGGAGCCTTTCCTTATTTCCATCGTCTATACACCATGACGGGCTCAGGGGTCTCAATTCCTCGGGCTTTTGATGTAGCAGGTCGAAGTCAGCAGATCACCCAAGCGGTCTGAGGACGAAGGAAGATGATGCAAGAGATGATGGATTCTCAGTACAAGAATCTTAGTGTCAAGAAGAGCTGGCTTGGGTGTGCTATGACTTGTATTGTTCTCGTGTCTTTTTCCTGATTGAAGACTCGAAGAAGTGTGTAGAACAGACCACCGGACACAGGGCGTTTGTTCAGAGATTCTCGAGGCGTTTGTTTAGAGGGTGATTGTCCTGGGTGTGTCTTGGCTTAGCGAGCAGAGGCCTGCTTTGACCGGTGAAAACGGCAACGAGTCGCTCCCCTCTCGTGCGGCTTTTCAGCAGATCTTGCGCTCCACCTGGAAAGGAAGTGCGGCTTCTGCGAACTAGATCTTGAAGGTGAGGGATGACTTGGTGTTTTGGCCAGGGGGTTTGGAACGCCGCAGACTGCTGTTTGAGGCACTCGCTCCACACGTGTGTTGAAGTTGATCAATCTTTATCCGTTTGCTTGTGGAATGGAAAGCCGGCAAGACCAAGCTTTCGATGATAGGCAATCTCCAGTTTTGGGTGAGTGATTTTTCCCAACATACGCCTTCACGATGCACCTCAAAAGGGTTGAAACTGAGTTGAGCTGCTTGTTCCTTTGTCGCTTCATCGGCTCATCTCGATCAGAATCGGCTCAAGAGAAGTGGGAGACGGGCGCGCACTTCGCTGCGCTTCGCGCCGCTCTCGCGCCGCTTTCGCGCAGCTTCGCACTCCAAGCCCGGAGTCCTAAGAGCTGGAGGCCCCAGTCTGTTGGTAGATGACCTGTTTGGGACTGGAAGCTTTGCTGCCAATCAATCAACCAGCCCAAGATAGCCCAAGGTATATTAGGGAACTTGGGAATCATGTACCGCTCCCATCCATGTCGTTTTTTGTGGACGAATGTGGGAAGCCATATAGGAAGACCTGTGGGTCTTTCTATAGATCCGGAAAAGCTGTGGGTCTTTCTATGGATCCCCAACTATAGATAGGAAAAGTAGATCACCACTCAACATGTCTTGCAATTTCGGACCACCATAGGTCGTCTTAAACACTTGTTCTGTTGGAACATTCCAAGAACATGAAGACCTTTGTGAGAGAGCTGGACCTGAAGCCGGTAGCGACTCCTTTATTGGTCTTGGTCTTGGCCTTGAAGTTGGTACATGTCATGGTTTCCGCAGAACTCGTGTCGAACCAAAAGCCGCTGCCGTTGTTCGTGACGTAGAGTCTCGCGTCCTGAGGTGCTGCTCGATGGTCCGAAGCTCTGCTGGGTGATGTTCCGAATCCACACGCGGTGGACTTGTGCGGTGTTTCTCTCGAAGGCTCAGCTTTGTGGATTTGTTTGTGGGCTTTGAGGTTGATAATGTCGTTCTGCTGGGTGGTGGAGGATGTTGCTGTTGCCTGCAGCCACGGCATGTTTTCAAGACGTGGGTCGCTTGGAGGCCAGGCCTTGCAGCGATCAGCTGTGCCAGGTTTGTGATCTTCGTGGCGATCATGCTTGCCTTGGGGTTCAAGAAGGCGATGGAAAACAGAGAATATTGCAAGAGCGCAACGTATACATTGTTAACATATTGTGTTACCAGGTCATTTAGTACAACAATGCAGAAAGACACTTAGCAGGTATACGCATTGGTCCAACAAACATCTGCAACCATTTTTGACAAAAGTCTGATGTGTTGGCCTTCCCGACCTTCCTGCAGGTCGAAAGCAGTCAGCCTTTGCCTTATTGGGTGACCGGGTGACCGCTCCCAGTGACCGTGATCGCATCTGAGGTGGGCACTCCAGTACGACTGGTGGTCCGAGTCGGTGAAGGAGGATCCACTCACGCAGGCGGGGAAGAAACGGCTTTCGATCAAAAGGTGCGCTTTCGACTTTGCGCTTTCGACCATGCTCCTTTCAGGTGATTTTGTCATGAACACGTACAGCACTATTATACCATATACTCATAGCAATAAGAACACCATGCCCGCGGCTTAAACAACGCGGCTTTAATGACGTTATTGGTTTTCCGGATTTGGGAGCGAAAGTGCATCGAACATCATTGAGCACGCGCTTCTTTCTAATGTGTAGTTTGCGAGAGATTAGAGTGAACAGTGTATAAGTACCCAAACATACGTTTCCTTGACTTCAAGTACTTGCTAGTGTTGATGCCTTTGGTTGAGGCCGGGCTGCACTTTGTTGGGATTGGAAACTACTTGCTGACCTTCCCTGCCACCAGCAAATACTGTGGCTTGAGCATCTAATGGGATTTCGCCAGCACCGCGAGTTGGGAAAGGATTGGGGTCATGCTTTGGCGACCCAGGCTACTTTCGCAACTTTGACAACTCCTTCCAACCTGATGATGACTCTTGGACCTGTCGCACTGGTCGTTGGTGATTGCGGTTGACTCACCAAGCGCTGGTTTTGCTTAAGGTGATGTTTTTATTGTCTCTTTGGCCAAATCCCCTTGGAAAATGGTTCCTGAACAGCAAATCCAAGCATGCGTTTCGCCACAGCTAAGGACGATGTTTTTTATGCCTCCGCTCAATGTGCGAACCAGCGATGGTTTGAAGGCACAGATTGAGCACCCAAAGTTTGTGGCCACGGAATTGATCATTTCAACCGTGTGGATCACGTTCACAGAGTCCCCGTTTTGAAGATCACTTGCATGATCTTGCATGTCCAGGTGACTTTGGAATTGGAGTTTGTCTACAGACTACAGAGTCCTGACAGCATCAACCAACTTTCCGCCATTTGATGACTTTTCGGTGTCCCATACACTCCATGTATGCCCACACCACCCCAATGTAAGGCAAGTATGGCATACATGGAGTGTTTGGGCATGAAGATCCTCGAACCTTGCAGCTCCTGAGAAGCTGTACAGTGCGTGATGTTTCTGAGGATGGCCAAGCTGCGCGACCTGTACATGCTTGTGGGTGACAGTGGCTATAGGACCTTTGATTCAATGAAGAGGCTCCCGGTTTTTGCATCTCAGAACTTGATTGCGAGGAACACCCTGGTGCATGTGGCCTCAGCTGCGATCTCCGCCCATGCCACCAACTTTTCAGCACAGGTTGGAAAGAAGACAAGCCCATAGACTCCATGTATGCCTACATTCGGGTGGTTTGGGGGGGGTCAATGTAGGCATATATGGTATACATGGAGCGTTCGGGAAGGATTGAACACAACCTGCAATCTGAAACATGTTCAATTGCTGATTTTTCCTGCTTCCAAACATCCGGTCAAAAACGCTCAACGGGGCAGGCATTCTATGGCGACCGTGGAGATGTGCAAGGAGCCTTTCAGGCCCCTTTGGAGCGGCGGCACGCGATGCCAACCGCATTGGCGCGTGACGCCATGCCATGCCATGCGATGCTTGCGTTAGTTCCTTGGGGCTCCAACCTCCTGAGAAGATGGTTGGGGTGGGTGCCAGGGGGTTCTAACCACCTGAGGATATGGTTGGAGCCCTAGTTATGCCTGTCAACCTGAGGCGGCACTGGCGAAGGAGTTGGATAGAGTCTTGTACATCACTGATCCTTGGCTGACTGAGGGCCCGGGCCAACGAACCCCTCCCCCCCCACCTTCACATCGCTGTAGACCACCCAACTCCCTGGCCGCCTCCATACATTGGTGGTATAGTCTTGACAGTGTTGGTGCTGTTGCGTAGATCCTTAGGATGTCTTAGGTATGCTTCAGCACATGTCGCTACTATAGCGTTTCGCTATAGCCTTTGGGATAGTTCTTTGGACCGGAGCACCCGACGGCAAGAAGGTGGTGAGCTTCCAGCTGCAGCCCGCGCACTTCCCGAAGCTCTACGCGGCCGCCATTGTGGAGACGCAGGAGATGAAGCAGGACATCCAAGTGGCCGAGCAGGAGAACAAGACCAAGGCTGAAGGACATCTTGTGGCAGACAACTGAACGGAAGCGATGTGCACAATTAAAGTTGTTTTAATTATATAATTAAGCATATTGACAGTTGTCAGATGATTCTAGTCCTCAGTATATATATATATATACAGATCTCATATAACTCTCACTTCAGACTTGCTGCGTGCTTTTGTAGTTGAGAGGCTGTGAATTCTGTAGAGGATCTACAGTCTATTTGTGCAGCACTTGACTTGCCATTTCTTTCGCGCACAGGTGATTCAAAAGCAGACACAGCTCTATAGTGCCAGGTGCGGGTTGACGAGAAGTGAAAGCAGGTGAAAGAGCGGTCCTCATCGACACGCAAAGTTGTAAACAGTATCCATATGTATCCATTTATCACAAGAAGTTTGGACGTCAAGTCTTTGCCAGGCAGCTGGCGCACCAAATTATCATCAAAGCCGAGGGTGAAGCGCAGCAGACTTTGGTCCAGAACCAGGTGGGATGGGACCCGCTTTCATTCAAGGACTCTTTGTGCACGTGGCAACTCCCTAGGGCTCCAACTTCCTGCTGAGAAGGTGGTTAGACCTCCCCGGCACCCACCCTAACCACCTTCTCAGGAGGTAGTAGTTGGAGTTTTGGGGGACTCAAGATACTCAAGAGGTTTTGGGTGCTGGTGAGTCCAATTGATTGGTTTGGACTTCATACTGGTTCCCCAAGCGAGTTGGGCCTTGGGTCATGGCAGTTAATTAGACTTAGACCAGTTCAGCTGAGCTATGCAGGCAGACGTTGCGCAATTCAAATACCGGCAGCAGGCGCATCTTGCCAAGAGTGCCTTTTTAATTTGCGAAAACAACACGTCCTTCTTGCATCTTATTGTGCAAGATGCAGGTCCTAGCTGAAGGCTATTCCAAAGCTTTGAATTTCTTCAGCAGCCAGGGCCAGGAGAATCAACCTTCAGCCTTCAGCCGTGGCTCTTTGTCAGATCCACATGCCCACAAGCTTTACGTCCCATTTTTCCAGGATGCCGTTCCCAACTTCTTGAGCTACTTGAAAGTGGAGGCGCAGGGGGGGCAGCAGCTTGTGGTAATTCTCTTTGTTGTAATTAGAGCCATTGTCAAGTGGTCTATGAACGGATTCACTCCTCAGAGGCTTTGAAAGCCCATGGTGGTAGCCAGAAGACCGTGAAACTGACACCAGTGGTGTGAAGCTGTCAAAGTACAGCTGTTGTTTAAGAGTAGCTAGGACAACTCAAGATTACTTCCTGACATGTGTCACGTCGTTGGAAGCTGATTAATTCAAGCCCGCAGCAAACTGCCGGAATGGAGCCGAAGAGCCGAAAGCATAGTAAACAGTAAAGACCACAGCTGGTGGAGAAGGGTGCTGTGTAAACTTCAAACTCCTGGATCTGGATGTTTGCTTTAAGATGCTCCAATCATGCAGCGATGGTCAGTGGCCCAAACAGATGGCAGGAAGTGCTGTCCTTTGCTGCTTAGTAAATGCTCCCACTGATGCGCTGCCCTTATCAGAAAAGAAGCCACATAAGCTGAAAATCAGTCCCATGAAAGCACTGGGAGCGCGCGTAACCATTTGTTTGGATCATGTTCCAGTAACCCTGAGTCATCCGCTTGTCGATTTCTTCGCTTCGCAAATGCCAAAAAACAGGACAGTGATCCACTACGAGAAAAGTTTGGCATCCAACTGGAAGAGAGCCTCCTTGCCAAAAGTGCGCAATGCGCTGGCCTTCAAAACATTAGTGGTGGCTTTGATTCCGAATTATGTCAAGCACATGACACATGGTGCATGTACCAAGTGTGTGAGCTGTATACTCTGCCGAGTCTGGTTGCTTCCTACTTGGACATCCTTCACGCCCTCCATCTTCCATGTGGAAGCCTTGAAGAGTGGGCCGACATCGCCCGGTATCCAGGTTGCACTTCGAGCAGACGCAGGTTTGATACCCCCAGTCTGAGGAAACGAGAATGAAATCCAAACACTGAAGCCCCTCAGGCGCACTCTTAGATCCTTAGTCCTTTAAGTTTACAGTGGATTTCTTAACTAAACCGCTAAAGGTCAAAATTGTTGGATAGCCAAGGTCAGAAGACCACGGAAAACGTCGCGCCGATCTCAACAAAACTCGGTGACGGTCCGACTTTCTGGAACAGAACGCGTGAACGACGCCTGAGTGATTTCCACATTGGCAATTGGCACGTGTCAGTTTAGTGCAGGCGGTGCAGGAACGGTGAGGATGGTGCCTTCTTCAAAACTCCGAATTCCCAGCTGCAGCCTTCCTCGCTAAAGCCCCACCAACCACCAACGCAGAATCGCCGTGGATTTGTTCCTGTTCGGTGGGCGTGGAAGGAGAACGTCGAGCATCTCTTTGAGAAACCGGCGACATCCAGCGACCGCCACTGCCACCAACCTTTGATCATCAAACCGTGCGGGCGCCCAGGTATCGATGGCCACAGATGATTCGCAGGCGCACGGACCTGGAGTAACCATCTAGACCGTGCCGACCGTGCCGACCGGCAAGACTGAAGGGGAGGCTGGGCTTGGGCTGCGGGACTTAGCAGGTAATGTCAGGTAGGTAGGGAGTCCCAGAATTGGTTTGAGGGATCTTCTAGGAGTCTACGGGGTGAAAGCCATGGATTCCTGTAGATGCTTCCTTTAACCGAGGTGGATGATTGCTTCCATAGAGTCTTGGTGGACCCTGACGTGATTTGGGTCATTTGGTTGGCCAACGATGTACGAAAATGCAGCTTCAGCGAGTGGTGGGGGTCCTAGATTGTGTGAAAGGCAGAGAGAGGAGCCCCAACCAGTAGGAGTCCCAGCAGGAAACTGTGGAAAGTATATGAAAGTATGGAATTCATTGCCTTTGGGTAAGATGATTTTCCCTGACTTTAGAGTGAGTAGTAGATGGCACAACTCCCTGTGAACCATTTCCAAGTACGAATCCACAAATTTATGCCTTTTCTTTGGCCCTCTACTCTGAAAAAACGATTTCTACCGAAGTCGCCGAAGTCTACCCTTTTGCGAGTCCAACATGGAACAACCGGGAACAACACGTCGTGACCATTGTAGCCCGGACACGACCCATGGGGCATGCCGTATTGCCAATCAGGCCGGGGGTCATGGTGCCAGGGGTCAGAGGGTCAAATGTGGCAGTCCTATCTGTGGTGTTTAGGTAGTGGTCTAACACGGCCGCCGTGTTTGTTCCTGGCTTGAAGACCCACGTTTGGCCATGGCTGTTCTGGCTTAGTCTTGATGCCATGAGACGGGGAGGCGGGGTGAATGTGCTGAAAGGG